CCTGTATAACCACAGAAGCAGTTTTTGAAGTTACGGTCTGAGGTAGGAAACGAAACAGATCTGTACTAAGCCTGATTTAAGGAAGGAAAGGTTGAGGGTAGCTACCTCTGTAAACTGGAAACTTGCCAATGCCAGAGCCCTACGTCGACTACGTTTAGGTAATGGTCAAAATCTTTAGATACTGTTCTTATTTTGGAAGCATAATGGGCCTATAAAAAAAAAAATAAAAATAAATTTCCTTTTTATGAGTTTTTATCATCATTTTTATATCCAAGACCTGTTGTTAGATTGTAATCAAGTAATAATATTAATAGCAAATTGTCACCAACGCGTAAATTTTTACAAAATCAACTAAGTACTGGTACTACTAAAGATATAGAAATTATTAGAAAAAGAGTTAATAAAATATCTGAAGAAATCATATATTATCAAGAACAACTAGGTTTAGTATAATAATAATAAATAAATAAATAAATAATAAAAATAAATAAATAAATTAATTAATCAAAATAATAATAATAATAATAATAATAATTTTCAACATCATCAAGCTGCATTATTTGAGCTAAGTTGAGCCACAAAAATTAGGACTACCTAGCATCACTCCACTTGTTATTGGTCATCAGAATGTTCATATCAACAAAACTGATTTTATGAATCAAAAAAATTCAAATAGATGGAAAATGGTATATGCAAATGAAAAATTGATCTCGATTTTGCCTACCTTATTAATTTTGGCATGACCAAATCACTCAATGTACACAATCATTTTTATTTCATCTTAATGGGTTGAGGTTGCACTCACCATACCTTATTGATTTTGGAATGACCAAACCACTCCCTTAAATTACATGAGTTAAACAACCAAAGCATTTAGAAAAATTATTTAACTCAACAAAAATTCATTACTCTACCTAGCATCGATCCATCAATCAATGCATGCATTATTTGGCATAAACTAAATAACTGTATTTATTTTGATAAGTACGCTTATTTAGATCACATTACCTCTTTATTTTTCTACACATTTTTTCATAAAAAGTTAAAAATATACTTATTTAGATTATCAATATTAATTAATTGAAAGAAACGAAGTAATAACAAATGATGCTTACGCTCTTCTTTTTAACGTCTCACTTTTTTATATTTATCTTTTGTCGATCTTACTCGTCATCACAAAAAGAGCATAAAAAGCCAAAAGAAGAGTGTGAATATCATACTCCCAAAATAATTGTGTTAATTGCGTATGTTTGGATCAATGAAATTTTAGATGTTTTAAGTTGAATTACATAGTTTGCGTATACAGTTTTTTAGGTAACTTATGCTTAAAAAGCAAGATAAATTTTTTTCTATAGTTTGGGATCTTCTTTCTTCAACTACCTTTGGACTTTTCTTTGGATTACAAGTTGGATGTTGACATCCAATGAATATCACCAACAACCTCACCTTAAAGGCTTAATCAAATCCCATTTTCTCTTAACAAATAAATATTTAATAGCTCACCTTAAGAATAATGTTTTGGTCGAATTATATAATTAATAAATAATATTAAGCAGGAACAAGGGAAAACAATAAAGAGTTTGGTTTAAGAAAGTTATTATCCAAGTTGATTGTTGGCCCCATATGTTGATTTTAGATTTATTTTTTTTAAACATTAATACTCAGCTTTACACAAAGTGAGTTTTTTGAGGTTTTTAAGCTGGAAAAAAAGAAAAAAAGAATAAAAAAACTTAAAAAAGCATAACAAAACACTTTATCTTATTGAAGTACAACTATTTAAGTATATAATGTTAAATTGTGTAAATTACACTGTTCATGCCAATTTAATTGTGGTATTTCATATTTTAATTGCAACAATTAAGTTTTCAGACTTTAACTAGTGTTTTAATGCGATCTTCCCATCACTTTTCATTAAAAATTTGGACCGAAAGTGTTCACGTGAGAGGCATGTAAACATATTTGAGGAGAATTAGAGGAAAAATTTGTATGAAAATTTGCACTTTTCACTTTCTAACTTTTATTCAAATTGTAGTTTGGTCCTTCATATTTAAACTTTCATTCAAATTTCAAGCGGTAGAGGTGTCAGGAGAACCACACCGAAGGACAATTGAAATTTGAAGACTTAATTATTGTAATTAGAAGATGAATTTGACTCAAAGTTTAACGGTGAAAAATGTCTTAAGTACCATTTTTGAATTTAAACTAAATAAATTATAAGTAAGTAGAAACAAATGAGGTCCATAATAATTTCAAAATAAGATAGTGAAATTGGTTTTATATGCTAATACTTAAAGTCATGAATCACCTAAAACTAACCTAAACATTGAGAAGAGTCCAAAAGGTACTTGGTCTTGCCATCCTTCAATTGCTCAAATCATTGTAGTAGAAATAGAGCATTGTACAACTATTCTATAATTGTCTTCAAATTATCACCAACTGTATTAGGAAAATTTAATAATGACAAAAAATATTGATGAGTGGTGTGAGCCATTGAATTTAGGGCAGTACCAAAAAAAATTCAAAGTTTTTTTTTAAAATTTCTTTTCTTTAAATTGAAAAAAAAATTAAAGAAGAAAAAAACAAAGAGAATGCTCCACAAGTCTGCATCAAATAGTTAATTCATGAATGGGTGAATTGAATGAATGTCTCATGACTTAAGACTTACCTAACGCTTTTTTCATCACCTTTTTCTTTACAAAAGTTTTGGTTTATTCATTGGCAAGTGTGCAAGAAAGTGAGATGTCATTGTAGTAGTAGTAGTACTGAGGTAAAAAAAATAAAAATAAATAAATAAGCAAATATGAGATAAACAGAAAATGAAGAAATTACTTATAAAAATATGAGATAAATAGAAAATGAAGAAATTACTTATAAATCAATGGAGAACAAAAAAACAAACTGAGCTAATATAGTTGGTCATTTTTGTATAACTAAAATATCGGGAATTAATTATTGTCAAAATAAATATTGATTATTTATTCTTTATTAGAGACACTATCTTACTTTTTCTTACCTAGTTGAATAATAATTGACAAAATGTAAGATTTATAGTTTGTGTATAATTCTTATTTGTATCTTGAATTAAAATAATAATAATAATAATTCTTACCTGTATCAAATCACATGCCTCACTTTCCCTCCACTAATTTACAATTAATTTTAGGGTAAATTATACTGAGACCCCTTGAGGTTTATGTTTATTAAATTTCTCCCTCACATTTAAAAAATTACACTGACTCCCCTGGTTAGTGTAATTATTTAACGGTGTTAACTTTTAAGTTAAAATGATATATTTATCCTTAACCTTTATATATACTTTAAAGGATAAATTACATTGGCACCTCCTGAAGTTTCAATTTAATACAAATCTCCTCTGACATTAAAAAAAAAACTAATTTAATAAAAATAAATATGAAGAAATATATTTAATTTGCAAAAAATTATTTCAAACCACTTGAAAGATAAAAGTTATATATAAATGATAATTATTTTTTATTTTTATTTCTTAACCAAATTAAGTTTTAATTTTTTTTAAAAAAAATTCTAAAAATCAAACCATACATAGCCTAAGAGTCTTTTGATAAGCCATTTCTTACGTTGGTAACTTATTTACTTATTTGTTAATTTTACGATATTTTTATCATCTGAGGCCATTTGGTAATCATTTTGTTTTCAGTTTTCAATTTATATTTACAAAAATTTTAAAAACTGTCATAAAAACTTGTTTGATAATTTTTTTGGTTTATAAATGGTTATCTCAGTTTGTAAATTTAAGAAAAAAACGTAAATTTAAAAAATGAGGTTACGTTGGTTTTTAAACAGAAATTTAAAAATTTGAGTAACAATTTTTTTTTCAATTAATTTTTTTTTTCAACTAATACTAACCCAAGGGGAAATTGGTAATGCTACTTTAAACCTTCGGGAGAGGATTGTAATTTCTAAAATGTGAAGGGTGTCAATGTAATTTATCTAGTGAGGACAAAATGGGTATTTAAAAAAACTAAATAACTTACATCAACAAAATCTATTAGAGTCAACTAACCGAGGGAGTAATCTGTAATGAAATTTTAAACTTCAGAGAGAAGGATATAATTTCTAAAAGGTAAGAAGAAAACTGTAATAAATATAAACATCAATGTAATTTACCCTTAATTTTATTATTTCTCATTAATATGATATTCCTTGAATATCAAAAAGTAATGACATATTCCTCCAATATCAAATGAAAATGGAACAATAAGGTACATATATATATATATATATATATTTTATGAAGAGTTGACAATCTGTCGTTACTAATACTCGACAACATTGCTAATATTCACCATCGTCATCATCGTCAAAGGCATCATAAAAGTCAAAAGTCATTGTCACCGTCATCCCCTATGCAGTAATTAAAGGGAAAGTAACGTGAACATTTGACAATTTTTGAAGTAGAAAACAGTTTGTTTGTAAATAATGAGCATAGCCGTGCAAATTGATGTCAATAGACATCAGTCTACTAGTAAACAATTACCGGCGGCATGAAGTATATCTGGAATCTTCCAAATTATAAAAATAAATAAATAAATAAATAAAAATAAAAAAACTGAACAGATTGTACTGGTGAAGTCAATCCCGTGATGGTAAAATCACCCAGTTTGGTTTGGATTAAAAAAACAAAAGGGGTTGTTTTTGGCAGGCCAAAAAAAAAAATCAATCTTCCCACAAATAAAAAACAACTTTTTATTATTATTAATTTTAACAATTACCATATGCATTAATTTTTTAAATTAAGAAAAAAAAGGAAGTAAAAATGCAATTAAAAACCAGAATTGCCAAACTACACCTCAATTTATGTTTTTTCTTAGGAATCCTAAGAAACAAAAGTCTTTTCTTTATTTTCTCCTTTAATTTTTTTTTTATTTTATTTTATTTATTTATTTTGTTTTTTTGGTCTTTTGATTGTAGAAACTAGAAAGATACTAGAAAGATGGAAAGTACCATAACAAACTGCAGCAAGATGACCGTTAAACCACAGGTTTCCTCTCTCTCTCTCACTCTCTCTCTCTCTCTCTCTCTCATATTCACACATAACCAAACACAGCATACACATTTCTCACTCAACTCTTTGTAAACCTTAACAGCCAAGTTTGTTTCTATCAAAACCCTATAAATCCAATAACTCATCACCATCATCATCTCTACAAACAACCCACAAAAATTATGGCACCAACAACATTGTTCAACCTCTTTCTCTCTCCTCTTTTCCTTCTTTTTCTTCTCTCTCCACTTTCCTCATCTGCAACAACAACAATTCATGACACTAAAGACTCGTCAAGACTGATCAATTTCCCAGAAACACAAGCACAAAAGCTCATCAGAGGGCTCAACTTGTTCCCCAAAGATGACATCAACACTGGGCGGGGCGGCGGGGTGTCTCCGGTGGGTGGTGCTTCTCCATTGATGGTGGAAAAGCCTTTGAAATTCCCTGTAATTGGTGGTGATTCTGGGACTTCAATTCAAGACTTGGGTCACCATGCTGGTTATTATAGACTTCCACATACCATTGATGCAAGGTATACATATACAGTTATTTATTCATTGGGTATATATCTTTTTAAATTGTTGATTCTATAAATGACTCAGTTTTTTGCAATGAATTTTGGATGGTGAAGGTCAATGGAACAGAATGTTGGTAAAATAAATAGGAGAAATTACTATAGTGTACTTTAAAAAAAATAATTACAGATTTATTAAAAAATTTATGATTTTAATTATTAATATTAATAAAAGTTACCACTTATATGTAATTAATTTTTTTTATATACACTGGTGTGTAATTTTCTCAAATATAGTTTATATCTAGGAGAGTCACTAGGCAGAAGGGACAGATAAACTATATTTATTTTTATAATATAATTTTATTTACCTGAAAAAATGTATTCACATTTTTTCTTGGGATTCATGTATAAAATGAATCTAGACTATATGAATTGCACACTATATAAATTTAATTTCCGCCACCTACCTAAAACAATCTGGATAGATTAGTCTAAATTTATTCATTTACTGTTACTGTTATTTTAATGTGCTGATATGCACTATATATATTTTTTTTAATATTAAATTGTAATGTCATTATCGAATTTAATAGATTGGGTCATGTTAGTGACTTTATATGATTTGATTGGTTGCATTTATTATTATTATTATTGGATTGTGGTTTTCAATTTTATTTGGTGATATTAAATTTTCAATTGTTGCTTTCTAAATTTTCATGATGGGATGGGAGATCTAGGTCTATATAGTGAAGTCATCTGGTAAGTCTACCATAATAAATTGTGGAGCTTCAATAATAGTAGTATTCTCTATTATTTCTTGTAATATCTCAACAACAAAAGCAATAAAGAATAATGAATTATACTTATTTCGTTTACGCATGTTCTAAGTTTTTTTTTTTAATTTTAATTATTCTTGATTTTTATAAAAATACCAATGATTCTTTCTGTTTCTGAAACTTTGTCCCTCTATCTTTTGCTGAATTCCCAACTAACTGTATTATCTGATGAGAAATTTTAAAATGCGTAAATCGACACATAATTATACAACTATGAATGTATTGGCATAGTTGAGTTTAAACTTTGTTGTTTCCTTAATGTGGTGAAAATTATATAGTGGTCTTTTTATCAATCTAATGCTAAGTTGAGTTAATATCTACTATCTAAATGGCATTTTGTTGACAACTTTTTTAAACGAGGGAAGTGAGGGACTCACTTTGCTCAAAATTGATTTCAGTTTTAATGCTCTACATTTAAAATTGTGTACCAGAAAGTTTTGTTCCTTCGGCCACCAGAAGAAGTGTTTGGCTGAATTAATTGTTTTTTGAAAATAATTTTTTGGGTGTGGTGGTTGCAGGATGTTCTATTTTTTCTTTGAATCAAGAAACAGCAAGAGTACAGACCCAGTTGTCATATGGCTGACAGGAGGACCAGGATGTAGTAGTGAATTGGCTATGTTCTATGAAAATGGTCCTTTTCATGTCACCCAAAACTTATCTCTTATTTGGAATGACTTTGGCTGGGACCAGGTATCTACACTTTCCTTAAATTTTATTTAGGGAATGTTTGGATTATTGGTTTATTGAGGGAAAGTAAAATTGAAGGGAAAATAGAATAACAAGTTAGGTATAATTTTTGGTCTCTAAAATATGTGTTTTATATCATTTTGGTCTGTCACATTGTGTCAAGTTCATCTAATGTGTATTAAAGTAGTCCCTATAGCCAATGTTATTGCCACATTATGTAATTTTTATTTATTTATTTATTGACAGGCATCAAACTTGATATATGTCGATCAACCAACAGGAACCGGTTTCAGTTACAGTTCTGACAATGATGACATTCGTCACAACGAAGAGGGTGTTAGTAATGATTTATACGACTTTTTACAGGTTTTATCTTCTCTCCATTTCTGTTTGTCCATGTTAAATGAAATATGAAGCAAATCCAAATTTGTAATAAAATTTCACTCATGAAAGTAAGAGAACAATACACGTCCAAGCAGTCCTCATTTTCCTACTTGAATGCCAAATTGGTTTATTTTCTTTAAGCCCTTAATCCTAAACTCCTCAAACTAAAACACCAGCATCTTGACCTATCTTCTGCTCCCTCTAAACTTCTAATTAGTACTTAGGTCATGTCTGATTCACAGATAAAAAGAAAAAATAAAACTATATTATCCCGGGATAAAATTATCCCATTTTTTGGTTCATATTTTGGGACCCAGATGAGGATTTCACTGTAAAATTACTAAAATACCCTCCTAGGGGATAAGTAAATATGCCCGTAGGACTTATTTGGGTAGGAAAATAGGCTTAGAATTAACTTGCTCTCCTATAATTTCAGGCATTTTTTAAACAACATCCTCAATATGTAAAGAATGACTTTTACATAACCGGAGAATCATATGCCGGGCACTATATTCCTGCTTTCGCAGCTCGGGTTCACCAAGGAAACAAAGAGAAACAGGGGATTTTCATAAACCTGAAGGTATGTTTCATAAACATTCGTTTGTTCTAGGTATCTTGTATTGAATTCAACTGATTCAAGTTTGACACTTAGTGAAGTGAAAATGGTTTGAACAGGGATTTGCTATTGGGAATGGGCTCACAGATCCTGAAATCCAGTACAAAGCATACCCTGACTATGCTTTGGACATGAAACTAATCAAACAATCTGATTACAACAATGTAACCAACTTGATTCCACGATGTGAAGAGGCAATAAAGCTTTGCGGTAATTCTTCCCAAAATTCCTAGATTTGTGTAATCTTCTTCATCGATTTCATCTTCCATTGTCGACATATTGTCATAAAAATACAATTATTCTACGTGCACAAATCAAAAGATCAGGGTTAATGTGACAACAATCCATAGTTAAGGGGAGTAAAGGGCAATCCACCCATAAAATAATCAAAATGTTTCAAAACACTACCGCCGCATCATTCTTGACGGGGTTTCTGCATAAACATTCTGTTTTCTGTTTTCGTTTTCATTTTCATTTTCATTTTCATTTTCTCCCACATTTTGCCACCACTCCTGTATAATTAGTAGAATTCCTGCATTAGGTGCCGACGGAGGAAACTCTTGCATGTCTGCATATTCTGCTTGCAATGCCATATTTAACAAGATCATGTCCATCGTTGGCGATGCTAATGTAAGTTACATATCACACTCTTTAACAGTTATATCCTACATTTTTTTTCCCCTACAACAATTAGAATTCGTTACATCTATGATTTGCAGTACTACGATATCAGAAAGAAATGCGAGGGTGACCTGTGCTACGACTTCGCAAACATGGAGAATTTTCTGAACCAGAAGTCTGTCAGAGAAGCTCTTGGGGTTGGCGACATCGAGTTCGTTTCATGTTCTTCGACAGTGTACCAGGCCATGATCCTGGACTGGATGAGGAATCTGGAAGTTGGCATTCCTCCGTTGCTTGAAGATGGAATCCAGTTGCTTGTGTATGCTGGGGAATATGATCTCATTTGCAACTGGCTTGGTAAGTTTATTTGATTCTAGTCAAATTTCACATTTCAGATCAATAAGAGCAGTAGTCACGGGTCACGGGATCGGTAGAGGTAACCCGACACGAAGTCGGTCTCATCAATCATGCTTTTGCGTGGCCTTGTTGGTCAGGAGCAACACATGCAGTGGCAAAGCCTAGAAACTAATTCAGAGAGGGCAAAAACAATAACTTTTCCCCCCTGTAATCAACAACAATGGCATAAACAATAACTTTTTGAATTAATATTATGCATAAAAACTTAAATATTCATCACAAATATTTTTAATATAAATTTTTACAATTGACCCTGACGAATTATCACTTTTAAAAAATTTAAAAGTAAAATTCCTAATCAAAATTCTTAATTTTAGCACAAATTACCGCAAATCAAAATATCTAATTTTAACACAAATCACAACAAACGAAAATCTCTAGTTTTCAACACATCAGGATTCTTAATCTTAGCACCAATCACCACAGATTAAAATTCCCAATTTCAGCAATTCAAAATCCTTGATTTTAGCACAAGCAATCACTCAAAAAAACAAAAAAGAAAAAAAAAAAAAAAAACACTTAATCTTAGCAAATCAAAACAAATCATTTTCAACACAACTAAATTAAATATAAAAACTTAAAAAAAAAAAATCCACCGCAAACCTCATATACTGAATAATTTTCCCAAAAAATAGTATTTGGGTCGCATTTACAATCCTGATGTGATTCGATTGGGCAGGGAATTCAAAATGGGTTCATGAGATGGAATGGTCTGGTCAGAAAGACTTCACAGCAGCTCCCACTGTGAGATTTCTTGTTGATGGTGGAGAAGCAGGACTGCTTAAAAACCATGGCCCTCTAACATTCCTCAAGGTATCTCTCTCTCTCTCTCTCTCTCTCTCTCTTGCAAACTCTTTAACTTCGGCACATTTTTTCAACATTTTCTCACTTTGGCACTTAAAAAGTTTGTTTTTGCCACTTTGATCCTTAATAACAGGTTCATGATGCTGGTCACATGGTTCCAATGGATCAACCAAAAGCTTCATTAGAAATGCTAAAGAGGTGGACTCAAGGAAAACTCTCCATGACCAAGTCGGAAGGTCGGCTCGCTCCGATTTGATTGCCACACACTGACCTTAGTCCCCATGTGTGTCCAATTTCAATTGTGTACAGGCGGAAATATCCAAAATGTGCCTGGAAATACCAAAGCAATCCTCTTGTGCTTGTAGTATTAAAAACAGGCCATTCCATAAAGATTGCTCACAGAAATTATTAATGAGTGCATTAATATGAAAACAACTTCTTTTTTTTTATTTTTTTATTTTTTTTTAACCAAGAAAGCACATCTCTCTTCCATAGAGAAAATCACATTGCCTTGAAATCTTGGAATCTATAGTCGGTAATCGGTACACGATAGAAGTTTTTGTGCTCGATATTACATCAAAAGAAGCTCGCTGACAAATGATAAACACAGTTATGGAGTATTCCCCAATCGATCAAAAAAGCCAAATAGTAGAGAAATTCAAGTATACTATATGCCTTTCATAAAGTAGAAAAAAAATAAAAATAAAAATAAAATTCTGGCAATGATTCGATAGTTCTGCCCAAGCCCGAGCCCGAAGATAAAAATAACGTCCAAGCCCTAAACATTTTTAGGTTGGAATCGGGTTGTTTGGGTTCAACCCGCTCAAGTCCCAATCCTATTTCCCTCTTTTCTCCTTTCCCATTCTTTTTTCCTTTTTCCCTCACTGTTTCTAAGAACACGAAGAAGCCACAGCCAAATTCTATTATTTTCTCACTAATACTACACTACTGAAACTCTGCTAGGGAGGGGTTTTCATTACTTTAGGTTGCCAAATAAAATTTAAAAAAAAAGAAAAAGAAAAAAAGGAACTTGAGAAGGCAAAATCCGCCGTAAAATGAGCAAAATAAAAATTATCACTGAAATTTTCATCTATAGGAAAACCCAATAACATGAATTAATTTTTTCTTCAGCAACTAAAACAGATCATTAATGGGTGGGTATTAAAGAGGAGGAAAAAAATAAAAATAAATAAAGGCTAGAAAATAGGTTAACAAAGCAACATAATTTGTCAACTAAACAAATTGCAAGAATTAGATGAAATATACATACTAATTTGCATCTCAAGAGTAAATAATAAAGGATAGGGGTGAAGTACCAGAAAAGGATGAAGCTTGGAAAACTCAAAAGAATTCATCAGCAGAGCAAACAAACAGAACCCTGGCAGCAGCTCAATCAAAACACCTTTTTGTAGACATCTGCACAAAACAAATAAAACAACACACACACAGAATCAAAATTGAGAACATTCATATCCCCAAACCAAGAAATTTTCTCTGAATTCTCTTAGCATCGAAACAGAGCATCAAAGAAAATCCTCACCCAGAAAATAATTTTGCAAGGGCCCATTTTCTGAGGAAACAAACAGTGGAACTGCCAGTGCGTCCGAGGATTCGATAGATAGAGGACTTTGGAGAACTCGATTGCTTGAGGTTGTGTTGTGCTAGCTTAATGAATTTGAAAAGGAAGAAACACTATCGTACATAGCCATCAAAATCACATAATTTTATATATTTTTGAATTATAATCATATTTTTTGAATTATAATTGAAAAAAAAAATATCATAACCGCAGATATAATTAAAAATTTTATGATTCATAATTAAAATAATATTATAATAAAAAAAAACATAATTATAGCCTATATAGTTTATTCATTTTGAGGGTGTGCATATTAAAATTTCTTGAAAAAAAAATTTAAAAATAGCAAAAAAAATGTTAATTGTTAAAAAATTCAAGTTAAAGAGGGTGTAAAACATGAGATTCAGTGAATATTTTTTCTTGGTGAGAGGTCTACCATTTGTGAAAAGTCTTTTGGCTTGTATTGAAAGCTATTTTGTTTCTAATTTTACCCTTTAATTTATCTGTTGATTTTTTTATTTGTTTACTTTCGTAAACTATCTGTTCAAAAAAAATTTACCTGTTCAAAAATTTCCCCTACCTGTTCAAAAATTTTCTTATTTGTTCAATTTTTTGTACTATCTGTTGAATTTTTTTCATCGGTTGAATTTTTATAATTTATTTTTCTCTATCTATTCTAGTTTTTATTTGTTTAATTTCTTATTTTATTCCTATCTGTTGAAATTATCTATTCAATTTTTTTATCCGTTCAAATAACAATTCAACAAGCAATCACAATCTTTGTTTTTTTATCTGTTGAAACAAGATGTGATGATCTGTTAAAATGGGTGGAGAGAAGTAAGAGGAGAGAGTTATCTATTCAAAATCTCTCTTTTTTATCAGTTTTTTTTTTTCTCTCTCTATTTGTTGCAATCGACAACAACAATAACAACAACAAAAAAGAAAAAGAAAAAAAAGATAATAACATCATCAAAAACAAGAAGAAGCCAAATCTAACCCCCCAAAGAAAAAAAATGAACATTCAACACAAATCTATTCAAATTCAACTTTTTCAACACAGATCTGTTCAATTCACACACAGATTTGTTCAACACAAATCCCTTTCCTCTTCCGTCTCTAGGGTTTCCAAAATGTTCATCCTCGCCAAGGTCTGCCATGAGACAGCGGCATCTGGTCGCCGGCATTGAAACTTCAATCTCTACACTCTATTGTACTCCAGCATCACTACATAGATCTGGTTCTTCTACTGATGTCTTGTCATTTCACTCTCAGAAACCTCTCATCAGCTTCTTCGTCCTCGCAATCGCCTTCGGTTTCGGTTTCGTCTAGATCTAGAAACAGTGTCGAGAGCTTCATCTGCTGAATCTAACCAAACAACTCATCGGCCAAGCTCATGGATCTGGTTCTTTTGCTTCACGTGGTGGTGCTGACGACGACAGAGGTGGTGAGTCGACAGATTGGTTGGAGGAACCCAAGCAAATGACTAGCTGATAGGAGCAGAGGTGGCGCCGGACGACGCGAAGTGGGAACGAAAGGGAGTGGATGTAGCGCTTAAGGTGATATTTAGATGTTAACGAGGTGGATGGAAGGATTTAGGTGACTTACCATTAGCGATTGCTCATTCACCAAATCAGACGATCATTAGAGGTCGGTGACATTAACGTTGCCATAGATCTTCTGCGAGTCCACGCACCGTTCATCCTCGTTGGAGATCTGAGATCTGACCACTACGGCTGTGAGATCGTTGAGATCGGAGCACTACAGCGGCGACATCAGAGCACCACGTCAGTGATGAGAGTGGTTGTGTCGGCGACGCCGGAGAATAAGATGACGGGTGAGTGAGAGTTTGGAGAGAGAGAGAGAGAGAGAGAGTCGTGAAGTGCTGTGTGACTTTGTGTTGAGTGCTGTGTTAATGATATATATGTTGGGGCATTTTGATTACAGCAGTGATAGGTATTAGTGATAGGTGTTATGAAAAATTTTTCATCAAAAAAATTATGAAAATTTTGTGATTTTTGAATTATACTTAGAATAAAACACTACATACTAATTAAGGTAATTTAATAATCATCATTTTCATAAATTTTTTTTCATGATTCCTAACTTTTCTCTTTTGCTTATTGTATTTTAATTTGTCCTTATAGACCGATTAAATTAGTGTTCAGACTTTTGGGCAAGAAAAATTCAAAATTAGAATTTTTATCTGAATATTTTAAAAAAATTTAAGTAAAATGTGAATAAAATATAAATATAATTATATTTTACTTATATCTTTCTTTTTTTTCATTTTTTTTTTTCATTTTTTTTAATCCTTCTTTTAAATCCATAAATCAACGGAGCAATAGGTGTTGGGCTATAATTGGGGCATGTTTTCATCGTTGCAAGACTCCTGTGGTGTTTGGGAACTTAGGTTTGTGGTTTGTTTTTGATTTTTTTTACTAAAAGACAAACTTTTTGCAAAATAAAAAAAAACAAATTCAAATAAAATATCACATCCAATCACATAATCATTTCACTTTTTCTTTCACAAACATTACATCCAACCACAAAAAGTCGAACTATCTTCTCAAACACGAAAAAAATTTTCTCCAATAATATCCTACAACTAAAAAAACCTACATAAAAACCCACTTTCCAAACACCCACCCTATACGAGATTGGGTGGGCCGTAATTGGGCGGGCTTTCAAAGTAAGATAACTATAGGCTTTATCAATTGCCGCAGAATTTTGGGTCGTCAAGTTTGGCCTGTCCATGGCTTGAGAGAGGAGATTTTAGTGGGTGATTTTGTTTTAATGAATAATTAGTAGGTGATCTGTGCAATGTATGAAAGTTTATTTTTAAAATCAAATATTAATTTTGAGTCTAAATATTTTATATGTAAAAAATTTTAACAGCTGAAAATTAAATACAAACAGATTTATTAATGACTGAAGAAATTTTTTGTCAGTGTGTTCTCCTATGTAAAATAGGCTCATAAAAAATTTCAAAGTTATAGGAAATTCGAGTTTTAAACGCCGCTAAAAGCCTGAAAAATGCTGTAAAATGTTATAGCGACGTTTGAAATACTCCTCGTTGATATGGCCGCTGCAATAGCTTTACAACGTTTGAAAACCGTTGCTAAAACCATTAGACAACATTTTTGAACATTTTTGAAAACACCACAAAATCTCTGACATTCACTATTATTTCCGTCACAAACTAACATGTAACAACATCATGACTGTGAGAATGTGTTCTCATTTTTCCTTATAGGATTAGGAATTAGTGTCCTATATCTATTAGACTTCTATATGTCAGTGATGCATTCATATAGGATTAGGAATTAGTGGTGCTCTATATAAATGATGTATTCTTTATTCAATTAATTCAATCTAATATACAGTTTCATTTAGATTACTTACATGGCATCAGAGCCAACTCAGAGTCAGCAGATAGCAAACGGCTTCTAGGGTTTAGTTCGTAGTTCTTCCCTTTGTTTCGTGACTGGTTCTCCCTTACGACTGGGTCTCTATTACCTTTGATCCGTGGTTTTGTGTGAGTCGTCTCCAGTGTATCTCTCTACATCACTAGATCGTGGTTTTTCTCCTCTGATTCGAGAGTTTGCTCTGGTTCGCTGTCTGTCTCTGTTTTGCTGGTTCTCTTTAGGGCTTTGACATCATCATCGAGCTCTATGGTTATCTCTTTTTCTCTCGCTCTCTCTCTCTCTCTCTCTCTCGTATTGAGCTCTCTGGTTAACTCTCTCTCTCTCTCTCTCTCTCTCTCTAGTATTGTTATTGGTATCTAAGTATTTGACCCAGCTGTGCTAACTTTAGGATTATTACAATTTGACCCCTTTGATTAAATTTATTTTATACTTGGACGCCATAAACCTTGCTTTATTACAATGTCGGATACTAAAATCCAAGCCATCAAATGCAAACTCACTGGTGACAATTATGCCTATTGGGCCAGTGTTATGAAGAATTTTATTCTTGATCAGAAAAAATGAGGCTATGTTTCTGGTTCTATTTCTCGTCCATTGGACCCGAAGGCGGAAGGGTATCTAACTTTTTGTGATACTTGGGATTGTGATAATGCCCAAGTTCTGACCTGGTTTCATAATTCTGTGGATGACTGTATTGGAATGATATTTTCTAAGTACAGTACTGCCAAGGAGTTGTGGGATTATTTGCTAGGTGTTTATCAGCAGTCCAACTTTGCCAAGCGGTATGAGTTGGAAACAGCTATTCAGAGTGCTCGTCAGCGGGATCAGACTATTCAGAACTTCTATATTGAGATGACAGGTCTCTGGGATCAATTGGTTCTTATGGAACCATCTAGTTTCAAGATACTGGACGCTTATCTTGAGTTTCGGGAGTAGGGTCGTTTAGTGCAGTTCTAAACGGCTTTCTCCCCTCAGTATGAGGCTATCTGAGGTGGCATCCTTCACTGGTTTCCTCTTCCCTCTGTGGATGCTGTTGTTCGTGAGCTCCTCTCCGAGGAAACCCGTCTTAAGACGACTAGTCAAACTCTGCCTCTCTCTATCTTCTTGGCTCCTGCCAAGCCTTCCTTGTTATCAACCCCACCTCCTCATCAGCTTCAGGCCACTGCGAAACCCAAGAAAGGACCATTAGGGCCAGATGAGTGTGATTTCTGCCATCAGAGGAGTCATTGGAAGAACAACTGTTCCAAGAAGGGAGGTTAGCCTGCTCCGTCTTCTCAGACATAGTTCCGCGGTCCTACCTCGGGTACTTTTCGACCTCCTGTCGCTTATACTACATCTACTCCGGCTCCCGATCCTGATTTGGCTTCCTTGAGTGCTTAGGTTGTATAACTTCAGCATATTCTATCCATCTCTCAGCCATCCCCATCTGCCTCCACTCTTACCTCTCTTCATTCAGGTTTGCTTGGGTCCTCTTCAGGTATCCCTTCTCCTGTCTGGCTTTTTGATTCTGGTGCTTCTCATCATATGACTCATCACATTTCCTTACTTAAAAACTGTATTCCCCTACCCGTTCCTATTACTATTAATACTGCTAATGGGTCTGGTATGTCGGTTTTATTTATTGGGTCTGTCTTACCCTCTACCATGTTTGTTGTTACTATTCTTTCTGTTTTTTATGTCCCTCAGTTATCTGTCAATTTATTGTC